CTATTGACTTGGTATATATATATGCATTCACAAGCAATAGTTAGATAATAGTATAACGGTTTAGAATGATTTCTCATAAAGACTTAGTGGACCTAACAAGACTATGGGGTTTTCTCAAAACCATATTTATAGACTTAGGTTTTTGTCAAATCATCCAACTTAATTTTAAAGTACATGCTTAGTCTTCAAAAATTATTTTACCGCATTCACTTATCAAGTCATGTTCACAGCTACAAAAACATTTCATAAAGTCCATATTACAATTTTATCCAAAATAAAGGATGACTAAAGAATGGTTATCAAAATCTTGACAAAATACTTCCTTTTGGCAAATATGAAGACTTTATCAAGAGATCATCATTACATACAATACATCATATTACTGGAGATTTTTGGGAGGATGGTCACTGAGACCGAGTTCCATTAGAACACTCCCTTCATGCTTACATATTTGAATGAGTCACTCCCATCTCTCGTGTTTCATACTTGGGATCAAAGCTCTTGTTCAAATCACATCTCCATGCGTATCACTACCTTAAGTAGTTCATACTCAAGCACAAAGAGGCACAAAAACACAGGGTATTCATAAACCGTCTCTTTCAAATTTGCTAGCATCTATCACCTAATGCCCATACATATTCATAAAACAAATAGCCAAAATATGACCAAAGAAGTATATAAAACATAAAATAAAGGGTTACTGAATCTTCTTTCCCTATACAACCTTACTATGTAATGTGCGATAGATTTCATACCTCAAAACTATGTAGTGTGGTACCTAGACTTTCTTGATTTTTTGCTTTTACTTGTTGACAAGCTTTTGTGATTTTGGAAGAGCACACGACTGATGGAGAATTTATTGGTCATCAGTTTCACATGTCATGAAGTGTCCATCTCTTTAGCACTTGGATTCTCCCTTTCTCACTATATGAAAAAATACTCTTCTTTATCCCATCATTCAAAATATCACAAATTCGATTCTCCCACTGATCTTTAGAGTTTCTATGATGCCACCAAGTCTTTCTATATATCCCTTCATTTTGAAGAAACCAAGATGCTTTTATAAGTATTGTGTTTTTTTTTTTTTTTTTTCTGCTATTCCCAGATCGAACACTCTTCACATAGAGTGTCATATCTTGCCAACTTTTTATTACCTCTCTCTAAAGTTTTACTATAACAAACCATACTCATGGCGTGCTATAAAACTTTTTTAAATGCGCCCTAAAAAGGTCTCCATTATGAGGAATCCAAAGATGTGCCTTAATATGCCACATCCTTTAATTTATTGCGGAATGGAACATGAGCATACCATGATAAAAATATGATATAACTCATCTCATAAGGAGTTTTATCTCTAAATCCTTTTGAGTATTGAAATAAACTAAAAAATATAAAATAGTGCTCTGTTCTATCCCTAAATCACACCATTTAGCGAGTCTACGATTTAGTGACATTCACGTCATAATGCAATTTGCTCAACAGGAAATCAGGTTGCGCACCTCTTAATAAAATATTTATTTTTCTCAATTCACAAAGGATTTCTTCCTGAAATCTTTTTTGTTGAAAACTAGACTCAAAATCAAAACATAAAATCATGGTGTGAATGCCAAATAGTACTTTTCTTCAGAGAAATTAATAAGTGACATTCACGTCGCAAAATAAATCATATTGCAGAATTTCAAGATGAATACTATCTAGTAAAATTGTCTTTTCTCTCTGCCCTCATGGAGTTTCCCTTTCAAACCAATTTTGTTTGAAAGTAGACACATAATAGTAGTACATATGTTTGCAAAAGCCTCATATCATTTTGTTAAGTAGGCTTGATAAATATAACTATTTACATCTCAATAAAAACGTACCAAATTGCTGAAAATTGAGGATGACCTCTTTTCAATCCAAAATTTTTATTCTTCTCTTCCCATAGATATTTCTCTCTCATAAATTTTATTAGAAACTAGACTCAAAATGGAAGTCTAGAAACTTGGTGTAGGCCATAAAATATTCTGTTAAGATTGGAAATAAAATTATGACTTCCATGTAATTGAACTAGTTTTCGTTGCAAAAAAAAAGCACTTGCGCACTCTTTAATAAATTGACCGTATCTGTCAAACCACAAGGAATTTCTTGATGAAACTATTTTTTTTTTGAAAGTAGGCTCAATTTGATGAGTCATGGTCAAATTTAAGCTAAAAATAAAAAATGTAATTGGTGGAAAAAATCATGGAACTCAATGGATAGTTCCTGAATTTTATAGGGTCAGAACTGACACCCTTCTTTAATGAGTCTATAACTCTCAATTCCCTTAGGATCTCCCACTGAAATTTTACAGGTAGATCCTACTCTCAAAAACATATAATATTACTGGAGTATGCAATAGAAAAATAACTCATTATCTTCTTCATATCACTACTCCAAAATAGCACAGAATACCCATTTTGCAGAGTGCCTTTTTCGGTGTTTGAATATTCCAATAATTCTTAACTAGAGGTGTATTACTTGATCACAAAGATCATTAGCTTTCTTATATATCATTCCCAAGCTAGATCCAGACTCAAATAAAGAGAAAAGACCACTAATGGCAATAAGTATCAATAGCTCTGATACTAATGAAAGAAGGACTCGTGTGATCTAGTTGGAGTATATAATAATTTTTTTCCTTTTCGATTCTTTTTCTTTTCTTCATGGCCTAGATCACTCACAAGTAGGCCTTTTAATATGTACGATGGAGCGCTAACTACTTTATGAACAACTAGTAGAGAGATGAATGAGTTTTTAGTGACAATATGTCTACATCAGGGGTTGGTATTGTGGGCATAGCTCATGGTCTTAGTTATGGACGACTTAATTAGGCACCTACAAGATTATGTACCGTGGTGCATGTTGATTGCAAATGGCATAATTTTGATTGATGAGACCCGAAAAGGCATCAACACAAAGTTAGAACTTTGGAGGGATGCCCTAGAATCTAAATCTTTGAAATTAGCCGGCCTAAGGGCAAGTATATGTAATGCAAGTTTAGTAATAGTAGGAGTAGAGACAAGGAAATAGTTAAGATTGACGGTCAGGAAATGCTAAAAAGAGTTCACTTTCGATATCTTCGATCGATAATCTAGGAAAATGGAGAGATTGGGGAAGATGTCGCACATAGAAGTAGAGATGGGTGTGCGAAATGGAGATGTACAATCGGAATTTTATGTGATGGCTGCATACAAATGAAGCTAAAAGGCAAGCTCTATAGGACAGTTGTGAGACCGGCTTTGCTTTATGGGGTGGAATGTTGGGTGTTCAAAAAACAATATACTCATACAATGAGTGTAGCGAAGATGAGGATGTTGAGATGGATGTGTGGCAAAACAAGAAGGCATGGAATTCAAAATGAATACATTCCGAAAAATTTAGGTGTGGTACCAATAAGTGATTAGATGGGAGAGAGTAGACTTAGGTGGGCTAGCCATGTGTGGCGCAAATTCAGTACAACAGCTGTTAGGAGGTACGAGTTAGTTCAAGTGGGAGGCTAAAAAAAGGTAAGGAGTAGCCACCAAAAGGACATGGTTGGAAGTATTGAGAAAAGATATGGGAACTTATGACCTCACTAAGGTTATGACCCTTAATATAGTAGATTTGGCTGACTCCAATTAATTGAGAAAAGGCTTTTACGAAGATGATGATGATGTACTTCTATGCTTAGTGTGCTTGTGTGGTACTATGTCGACACCAATACTAGTTGCAGAAATCAGCTACTGATACTTGTTAAGTAGAAAATGGCATAATTAGAAAAGATTTAAATAAAATAACATAATTAGGAAAGATATAAGTAAAAAATATGTTATATTTTTATCAATGTGTTGGATGCATATTTTTCATATTATATAAACTATAATATATTATAGATGTGTAACATCGGATACTCATTTTCGTAGTTGTATCTTGTATTTCAAGAAATGCTGAGTTGTATCGCATTCTCTATATATCGGTATCTACATTTGAGCATCGTAGATTGTGTTCTTTATTGGTTCCAAAAGATTTTCTTTTTTAACAATTGTGTCATCAATAACATTATAGGTGGTAAGGACATTATGGGTTGGGCAAGACAGCATCCAAGGACCAAATTCCACTGCTGACCTACCCAAAAGAAAATGGAACAACATCAAGTTGCCCCCAAAAACAATAGCAAGATGTGTACAAAATGTCCAATGGTGTGGGGAATTCTACACACCAATGGGTCTTCCAAACCACACTAATTATCTTGAGTCATCAAGGGTTGTCTATGTAAACCTAGAACATCTGATGTCATTCCTACCTCTTCCTTTTGACTTTCCCTACATATAAGGCCAGCAGCCGCCCTAAAATAGTCTGTCGAACAGCAAAAATTCTTTATGATCTGAATCAATTTTCGCTGTTTTATATGCATTTCCTATTCCATACTTTTACCTTGAATAAAAAGTTTTCCTCTTTGTTTTGGCAATGAATTATTCTTTTTAATTGGCAAGGTAGATATCTGCTAATTTAAACAATTAAGAGGTTATATTATGGCAATGAGACACCTAGTTTCGACTTTGGAGTACAAACAAGGGATCAACTTCAGACTACCTTCCGAAACTCTCATCCATGTGTGAAACTTGATCAACGTGAACTCCCTATTTTCAAGAAATTGGTCAAACTCTCTTTGCAAATAGTTATGAAATAATACTTTTGAGTGTATGAATTGCTGACATGGTATCGATCCTTTAGTTGATAACTTTGTCATCATTTTAATATAGTTATTGGCATTATTCACTTGTAGCATGCAGCTTTAGGTGCAATAGGATTTTCATGCTAACTGGAGATGCCAACTTAGCTTTTAAATTTCTCTCATCATATGATTTTGGATGGCATTTATGTCTCATGTTAAGATTGATGACTATCAGTGTGTAAGTTATTTGATCTCTTTGCTATATGCAGTTTGCAGTTATTTGGCTGTTGTGTTGCCGTTGATAACTTGTTAATTATGTTTATGACAGGTCTCCATTATACAACCTGTTTCTGGCTGTGGATTAGCAATACTTTCTATTTTTTCACATTTTTACTTGAAGGAGATCATGAATGCTGTTGACTGGGTAGGAATTACCTTAGCTGGTGTTGGCACAATAGGTAATGTAAGGTCAGAATGATTGCTCTTGTTTTATATATTTGTATCAATATGTTGCTATGGATATCTTTCTCTTAACTGTTAGTATGAAGTTCACAACCAATTTTATCTGATTCAACTAAGGAAAAGTCCGAATGAAATTTGGACACTGTCCTGATTTGTGGATTTTACATGCATGGCATCATCCGGGAACGAATAAATGCAGAGTCACACAGATGGTTGCTCATTCGGGTGACGTACCAATGGGCCTACCAAGTCGGTTTGAGTTCTGAGTTTTAGAACCTTAATATACACCTCTTCATGGTGAGACTTTAACTTCCAGCAGGGTTGCTAAATACTTAATATTGGTCTCATGTTGATCCCTATGGATACATTGGATATCCTTCAAATCTATGGATAAATTGGATATCCCAATGTATCCCTATGGATACATTGGATATCCTTAAGATCTATAGTTAACATATTTCATCTTTGGGCCAGTCTTTGTAGTGTTGCCTTATTAACTGATTACTTAGGATCTTTGTATCTCTGAGGGAATTGCCCGAGAACCTTCGGTTGTTCTAGGGTTCTGGAAGCTGGAAAACTGGGATGTTTTGGAGTCTAGAAGCTTGCACATTTGTATCTAGATCCAGAAAGTGCTGTGTTTGATTGCTTATCTGGAATTCTAAGGGAGTAAGGAAAAATGTGTTTGATAAACCCGAAAGTTTCCAAACTTGCAGATCTGAACTGATTTTATTTTATTTTTCTGTACATCCAGATTGAGCTAAAATTTTGGTTATTTGTAGTTCTTACTTACACGAACCTGTAAAAAGAATATAAAAATAATTTGACAAAATAAAATGACCAAAATACCTCTAAAAGTTTTGGGGGCATTTTGGCCATTTATTGCTTGTGATTATTTTTTGTATTTTTACAAATGCGCTTAAATGAGGCAAATTCACCTTTATATTTTCATCTCAATAGCATCATTATCTGAGCCTTATCCCAACTATTTAGGGTCAGCAAAATTTCATTTCAATATATTTTTTAAAAATAGAATTTAGAAACCTGCTTCCATGAGCAATGTACACTTCTTATTGTCTATGAGAAGCTCATGTTTTTTTTTTTTTGGGGGGTTGGGGTAGGGGGGAGTGGGGTTTTTTTGGGGCTGGAAGTGCTCTCGATTTTGAGAAGTGCATACTTCTTGTGGAGTTCCTAGTGTCAACTAGGTAACTGCTACAGCACTGACGATATGCACAAGAAGTCAAGTGGTCCGACTGAAAGTTAGTTATCACTAAATATTAAAACAGATCACCCAAAAAAAAACTGAAACAGGACCATTTTGATATAATGAAATCATATTGCGTAACCTTGTTTTCAAATTAGTTACGTTTTTAAATGTAAACTAGATTTTATTAATTGAAGTACAGTTTTAAATTATTTACTAGAATGGAATTGAAATACAACTCGGTTATTCACCACTGTAGAGCTGCTTCAGACCTTTCTATAACTGGTATTTGGTATCCAAATTTGTTTCTGCTATGGTGTCCACTCATTTCCATGATTAAAATAATTGTAATGTTTAATAAGAAGTTGTCGTTTGTAGGTGTTGGTATTGGAGGAGAGGAGCAAAGCGGTTCTACAATATCATTTATCCACCTACTTTGGCTGGTTTCCATTGTTGCCATTTTGTTTGTAGGTATCTATTCCTCAATGCCATCTGTATTCTGTTTGATTGGCTTAGAATGTGATGCGCTTTATAGAATTTTCATAAGATTTACTTCAGTTTTGAACCTTATCCATTCATCATACTAGAAATTTCAGGAGTGTCTAAAGACATTGGAAAGTTAGCATTCAAGATGGACTCCTGTTTTCTTTGTTATTTTATATGCATTTTGTGATGGCTGATGCGAAGGCTATGTGAAGTAACCCAATGGTTGCTATGACTTAGAGCATTGCAGGGGCCTGTGCATGAAAAAGGAATCGTCATCCTCATTTAAGTAGCCAATTTTCATTTTCACTCATGCCTTGCATTTTTATTCTCGTATCTCATCTCCAGTGGCAAGTGATTAATTTGTACTTGTGCATGAAAAAGATATCGTCATCTCATTTAAGTTGTCAATTTTCATTTTCACTCATGCCTTGCATTTTTATTCTCATATGTCATCTCTAGTGGCACGTGATTAATTGAGTTCTTTAGTTCTCTATTCCGAACCATATATCCATATTGATTTACCCAGTAATGGGAAGCAGAGCAATCTTGTAGATTTTAATTGATAAACTTGTGAGCATTCTTCTTTTATCGCTAGAAAAGCAAGATTTCTCCTTACTTTTTTGCAAGTTTAGGTAAGGTTAACAAAGTAAAAATTCTGGCCCATTCGATGTTTTTAATGAAGAGCCTTGAGAAGTTAGGTGGGGGTTTGCATGAGAAAAGTCAAAGATGCTTGCTGATATTTAGAAGATGGAGGAAGAGGTTTCTAATGTGTTTTCTAGCATGTACCTGTAAGGTTTCGGGTGAGAGGAGCTGCGGGTGTCTTTTTTTATATATTTTTTAAGAGAATGTTAAATTCGTTTACAAAGTATGTTAAATTCAATAAGAGCTATACAAAGAAAAAAAAAATCCAGAACCTTTAAAGTTTTGTAAATAGCAGACAACATGTGGTATCATATTTGCCGTTGTGGTCCATCAAGAACAAATTTGTAAAGGAATTTTACCATTATATCAGATGATTGTGTAATATAATCACCATTATCTTCACTGGCGATCTTGCACCTTTACCATTGATGAAAACATCTCACTCTGCACTTTGTGCCCCTTGTCGCAGCTCCATATCCTACCATTATATCAGATGATTGTGTGAGTTTGAAACCAATGAAGACTTTCAAGTTTTGACGGGGTCAAATGGATAATGACATGCATGTCCTTCTATGATGTGCAAAGTCAGCTAGATATGTGGTTTTGCATACCTGTGAATATCTGGTGCTATCAGAGCATCTATTTCTAATTAACCATTTGTGGTAGGTATCTGTGCTGGTACTTATTTCCCTTAGTTATAAAAAATTCATAGAAAGTATTTTTAGAAGCAAGAAGTGACAATCGTCTTGTATTTGTGGCAAACTTTTGAAGAATCCCTAGCAAAGTTCAAGTGTGTTATCCATTGATTTCTCCAAGCCTCATTAAAATTAGAAGTCAAGTTTGAATGCCTCACATTAGACCAACTCCAAAACAGAGGCCCCCCTTTCCCAATCATTGCTGCCTTTGCCATTTTTGAGGTTTTTGGCCTTTAAAGGCTGCAAAAGCATGTAAATGTAATAAATAATAGCGAATTGTGCACTTTAGGGAGGCATATATTGGTTGACTGACCTAGGGTTGTAGGGTTGGGTAGTCTATAGCCTTGGTCAATGTCCAAAAGCCTTTCCCTTGGGCATAGGCATTAATGTCAACGGTTTTATGAAGGGTCATCCCTTGTTGAGGTCGGAGAGATACCTTGAAAGAAGAACTATTTGATTGGGCAAGTCAATACCGATTAAAGTTTTTTTATTTATTTTTATTCATTACCGCTCGGATCACTTACAAGTGTCCTAATAGGATATATGAGCCAAATAAAAATACAAGAATGCTAAAGACTCTCTCACTTGCTTGCCATCAAAATAAAATTACATTTATAACATGAATATGGAAATACATAAAATATGCAATTAAATCAAGAAAGCATGAGACAGGAAAATACTGCACACCTTGCCTTAGGTTATCTCCAAGGACTTTGTATACCCCGCACTGGGTCTCCTCCACTAATGGCGCACGAGATCTAGGTTCAAGAACTTGTCTCACCATTTGAGAAGCCTAGGCAAAACTAGCAGAGAGCATGACAGGGATAAACTAGACCAAGGCTCAGCACCTGAGCATAAAGCTAGTACCTATGGGCTAGGCTTTGTGGCTTGGGCGTGCCACCCTTTAAGGTTTGTTTTTTCTTTTCTAAATCCTAATTTTAAAGAGAAATGGAGAGAGATCAAAGAGGGGCGTGTCGCTCCTTAGGCTCAGAGACAAAGATTAAGATATGAAGTGTGTAGAAAATGGCCCCCCATAGCTAGTTTATATAACATAAAGGTTAGGTTTAGGGTTTTGCCGTCATTATAAGACTTTATCTTGACATTTGATCATAGAGACCTGTGGGGTGAAGAGATCTCATCCATTCACTCCTTAGATCAACCATCATGATTAAAGGAAAGAGGTGAAACCATTATCCCTCAGTCTCCATAACTTTATTCCCATCAAATATTATGTAGAGAAAATACTAAATTAAATTTAATAAATCTTTTATACTTTCTCCTTTTTGAATCAATCAAAATCTCTACACCGACTGTTTCCTAAAATATTCCAATTAATTGCATACCTTATGACACAAGGCATAAAATAAGAAAGAGAAGAATAAGGAGGTGGGGCGCACCACCCTATGGGTGGCCATGTGGGCTGCCCACTAATTGGTGGGCCTAATGAATCCCAATGGGCCCCCAATATTTTGAATATAATTTATAGATATTAAAATAAATTTTATAGTGTCATCAAATATTTTATTTTCCTATCTGATTAAAATAAAATTCAAAAATTGAATTTTTCTTATTTAAAAATATTTTTTTAATAAAATAAAATACTTAGAGGTCTGAAAATTGTTTATAATTATCTGAAAAATAATTGAACCATATTTAAACATATCCAAGAAGATTTGATGGGAATTGGATTCATAGAGTTAGGATTACAACAAATATACGAATGATTCTATCTTTTTTTGAGACTGTATCTCAATGCACATTCTCAAACTGGCCCAATAGTTCCCATGATCCACAACCCTTCATAAGGATTCATGATTGCACTATCAAAGTTAGCCAATTAATGAAGGAGATATGATCTTAGTTCATAGATTACAGGTCATTCCCTAAGGATAAGTCTAGGCTCCATTCTAACACTATGCTCCATGAGTCCTTCCAATATAGTCTAGTGTTGTAGGGAGTCATCTCTTCGGCACATGTATACAAAACACACCCTTATCCAAAAGGGCCGCTTCCCGAACGACTGTCTAATGTACATACCATGTGATGGTAATGATGAGGATTTAGGCCCCTGTCCTCTCAGGTGAATCATCACACACATGGGTCACATCTAGTTCCTCTAGCCAACTGTCCTGGGTACAACTCCAACATCTTCAAGGGGTAATGTCACATCAAAACCTCACATTAGCCGTAACTAGTCAAAGCTCAGGTGAGTCTTAGCATTGGTAATGCCTCATAGTCTAACGTGGATCACACTTCCACTAGAGCCAATATTTCACTATAATGATTTCAGTACATGTTCTCATTAGGCCTTTAAATGGATCACATAACCCCATCATGCCCAGGGACATTCTTTGGGCCAGAAGAGCTTCGTGGTCTCCTGTGTACGGATGTAGGCATGTAAGCGCAATCGACAAGTCCTCAACAAACTTTTTCTAACAGCCGCATTATGGGAAACAATTCTATGGAGGGGTACATGTATGTGTATAAAATGAGTGTCTTTGTACTATAGTGATATGTGCTTATGACTTGCTCTTGGGGGAAAGCCTATAATCGACATATTAGGACCGTGGTTTCTTTATTTATTTGCCATCTTTGACGAGCCAATCATGTGCCCCTATACATGACTGTGGGTCTTGGGTCCCATTGGATTGGTTTGAGAAGATAGTTGTGGATAATGGATCTTGGCACGGGTGGAGTGCCTTGACAATTACTTTTAAATTTAAGAACTCCGGAAATATTGTTTCCATTGTATTTATGTTCGTGTAATTTTTGGATATTTTTTCAGAACTTTAAATTATGTTTAAATGAACAAAACACTCCTAAAGGTTATTTCTTTAATTTTCTAAGTATTGTTGAAATTTATTCTTTTTGCATTGGGACCTACTTTGGGTGGGCTATGGACACATCCCCTACACATGTGGGGCCCACATGGTGTGGGACGTGGGCCACATGCCCCACAAAGAGGGACGCCACATGTTTCCTAGTTGTTTGGAACTTTGGGAAACCTTGTTGGGAGTCAAATTAAATTGAAAAATATTTTTTAGTTAGAGAAAAATCCTGTGAAGTCTTTGTGGATTTTTTTGTGAGAAAAAATGAATAGAAGATAAATTTTGATTGATAAAAAATCTAGATAGAATAGAAGTGGATAGGGGTCAAGGATTCGGGGATAAGATTCCTAGATTCCTTTCTAAATCATGACGGCCGATTTCATGGATGGATGGCTCTAATTTTTTCTACTCGCACCTTGTTGATTACCTGAATATCCTAAAGTGATATCGAAGCCTAATCTATTTAGGAATACCCTAGGGCCCTTGTGGCCATTATAAGGAGGGGACCCCCTCATTCCCTACACAGTTTTCAAACCTCTCTCTCCTCCGTGCCAACTCTCTCCTCCGTGCCAACTCTCTCCCTTCTCTCTAACTCTCTCGCTCCTCTTCATGGCCATAAGGATCTTGGAGTGGTCGGCACCACCTAGCACAAAGAGCGAATGGGGGCACGCCAGCCCTAGTCAAGGTTAGGGGAGGTGTAACCACAATAGAAATTCTAGTTATTAATGAAGGAAAAAGAAAATTTTTGAATTCTATATAGCGGAGCTAGTCTTCTTACTGCCATAGTTTAGGAATTGGTTTTTATTTCTTGAGTCA